ATGGTAAATGAATACCTGAACTGCCTCAACTTCAAGGCATTCGAGTAGGGAGTGAAAAGTGACAAGGGGACCCAGGCTTGTCCTGCCACCCCAGGACCTGGTCAGGGGCGCCCTTCCCTCTGAACCCCCACACCTTGTCGAGCCCCGCCCCTCCCCCTGAGCACCCAGCTCCCGGTGCGGACCACCCTCCCCGCTCTGAAGCCCCAAGCAACTGATTGGCGCGCCCCTCCCTCCCTAAGCCAGCACCTGGTCGGGTGGCCGCCCTCCCCCCTCTGGACCCCAAACACCTATTGGGGCCCTCCCTCGCCTGGAAGCCCAGACCTGCCGAGGGCACCCTCCCCCTCCTGAAGCCCCAGACCTTGGCCTGGCGGCTGGGCTTCTCCAAATGCTGCCCTTGCTTGTTCGAGGATCACTCAAGTGATTCTCCTGCCTCGGCCTCCCGAGTAGCTGGGATTACAGGCGCCTGTCACCAGGCCCGGCTCACTTTTTGTATTTTCAGTAGAGACAGGATTTCACCCTGTTGGCCAGGCTGGTCTCGAATGCCTGACCTCATGTGACCCACCCGCCTCGACCTCCCAAACTGCTGGGAATACAGGCATGAGCCACGGTGCCTGGCCCATATAGCTGTTTAAATTTGACTAAAACTAAATGCAATTAGAAGTTCAGTTTCTCATTTGCACTTCAAGCATTCAGTTACCCACAGGCGGCCACGGACGCAGAGACCTGGTGAGAATGTCACACTCCACACTGGCAGACAGATCATACAGACGAGTGGCTCTAAGATCATCTCGGGCATCTTAATAATCGACAGCTACGCTGATAGTTTTACTCTCTGGTCTGCTGCTATTATAGACACTCCAGCATTCTTCCCATTTTAAAATTGTCAGTGCTATGCACACGATCAGATTGTGAGCTCTCCCAGGCAACCTCTTCTCCGTTCCTGTACAAGAATAACTGCAGAGCATGCTGGGCACTCCTGGCTCGCACGCTAACAGGACCGGCGGAAGGGCCTCCGTTTGTAAAATCAGGGGGAGAAAAAAAAAAAATGAATTCCCTAGTGCGCCTCTCCTCCCTACAGATTTTTGTGAAACGCCGTCTTAATATTCAGAATAACTTGGCGGAGTTCAGCAATCAACAAGGCATCCCTTGACGCAGGAAGCAACAGGGAAGCAGAAAGGGAGAGTGTGAGGACGGGCTTTCCATTCCCTCTGGGGACCACCAGGCGCCAGCCAGGACTGAGAAGGGCAGCACAGCTCGGCAGATCCTGGCACACCCTGATGCAAACGTGCACATGGCTTCCCTGGGCCTCGGTCCCCCGCTCTGCCCTCACTGGCCGCTGTGGCTCTGGTAGAGGGAGCTCCCTGAGCCCCAACACCCACAGTCAGTTTCCTCCTTGCAGGTCTCAGCTCTGTTGTGACTGCCTCAAGTGCCTCCCTGATGCTTCTCATCATCATCTGGGTACGGTGCCCCCTCTACCCCACAGCCCTTGCTACCACCCACCCCACCAAGAAGCCTGGCACACAGCAGGTGCCTGAGATACCCCAACGGGCGGGCATACCAGGGTACGGCTTGGAGATCCAAGGGCCACGTCCCGCATACCACCACAAGTGTCACGGAGGCTGTGGAAGGGGTCCAGGCTTCAGGCCTGCACTCAACTTCTCTGGCCCCCCAGGCCAAAAACCTAGCAAGGGAACGCAGCCGGAAGCAGGATCCCAAACCCCCTTCTTGCTCCTCAAGAGGAAAGGGGCCTCAGGGCAAAACCCCACAAGTGCCTTCCTCCTGCCAGGCTGCCTGTCATAGCCCCCACAACTTCACCGCAGGGAAACCCACTCCTGTGAGGAGAAAACCAAGTACCACAGGAGCCACGTCCACTGGCAGCGTCTGCTGAGCCCAATTAGTGACAACAGCAGCCGGGCCCCCACGAGGCATGCACAGACTCTGACCCGCCCCGCACACCACAAGGTCCTGAAGCTCAGCTTCAACTCATCAGGGGCCTCTTCCAGGAGAGCTCGGCATGTCTATCTTTCCAGAAAGCTGAGGGACTCAGCTCTGAGTGTGAACAGAGTCAAGCTCCCACTAGCTGTGCAGACAACCTCCCCAGCCCTGGCCTTGGAAGGGGCCAAGCAGAAACAGGCATCTTTTGCCCGCACAGGTACAGAATTCAGCCAGCTCTCTCAATGGAGTCA